ATTAACTATTACCCTATCCCCCCAGCCTGTATCCTTGTTCGACACAACCCCCTCTTTCCCGCTGTGCGGTTCCTTTTTATATCCTGTATATTGGATTAATAATTCCGTAGGGGGCAGAGGTCGAACAAAATATCCTCTGATTTTTCTCGCCTTTCCCCCCCCGCGTTTCCCCCCGTCCCCCAACTCTTTTTCCCTTTTTCCCCCCCACCGCAAGTCCAGCAGTATCCATATAGAACTCAGATTTTTCCTCACTTTTCCTTTTCCTCCCCCCTTCTCCTACCTATTATATCTTTTCCCAGTATTTTCAGTATTTTGTTTGTCTTCCCAATCTCTACTATTTTTCCCTCCGTTCTTATCCACCAATCCCTACGTATATTTATTTTCTCCCTCAATTTATTTCCTTCCAATCTTCCGCATACAATAAAAATCCTAACCACTACTTACGTCACTTTGATTTTCCCGCCAAGAAGAAGTTCCTGTTCTGGCCGCATCTTTTTATGTGTCTATTCCCTCGTAATTGTTACATCATCCGCCTTTTCTCTCCCATTTGTGCCGCCCCCCCTAACTAACTACATACTATTTTTCCCTCCCCCACACACCAATCTCCCGCCCTTCTTCCCTCTCCACTTTCCACCTCTTTCCCATTTCACGTCCCCCCCTTGCCCCACTCCCCCCTTTTTCCTTTCCCCCCCCCCCCTCTATTTTCCTTCCCCCCCCTTTTTTCTCTTTTCCTCTTCCCTCATCCCCACCCCCCCCCCCACCCCCCCCCCGCCCCCCCCCCCCTCATTCCCGTACAAAACCCTTAAAAATAGACCTCTACTAATTTCAACACCTCCACCCCCCAACCCACCATTTTCCACCCTCCTATTTTTTCCACCCCCCCCAGCCCACCCACCACCACCCCCCCTCTCACTCCACCGCTTTCACTCCCGTCAACCTAATTACATAAATTAGTTGCCTAGAACTATAATTGACCTTCATTTTTCCACCTTGTATACCCGTATTTACCAAAGAGCTTTGATCTTCCCCCTTCTTCCATATATTTCCTCCATCCCAACCCCCATCCTCCCCCCTTCGTATTTTCCTTTTCCGTTACAACCCTTCTATTTTTTCGCTCCCTTCTGTGCTTCCGCGCTTATCCGCCCCCCTTCCCGTTCCCCAGAGTTCAACGCACAAGGACCACTCCCCTCCACCTTTTCCGCCCCCCCCTATTTGTTCCTCCCCCTAGCTCTTCCCCCCGGCCTTTTTTCTTTTTTCTTTCTTTTTTTTTTTTTTTTTTTTTTTTCTTTTCTCTTGTTTTTCTCTTTCTTCTTTTCTTCCCTTCCCCACCACCGAGAACAACCCACCCTCCCGGCACTCAGTTTGTTCTCCTTCTCCCCTTCCAACCCACCCCCATTTCTCCCTCTCCACCACGCCCACCCCCTCAGCCCCTCTCTCTCCCCAACCCCTTCTTTTTCATTTCTTCATTTTCCTGTTTTTTTTTTCTTCGGTTCTTTTTTTTTCTTTGGTTGTTTCCTTCTCTCTTTTTTCTTCCTATTTCCTTTATTCTTTCTTCCCCCTTTCTTTTCCCCCCTTTTTATCTTTTTTTCCTCTTTTTTTCTTTCAGCCCTTCCCCCCCCCCGTACGCCCCCCATATCCTAGCCTACACTTACTCTTTTCCCCCTCCCCCTTTTCCCTTCCCTCTTTCCCCATTTCATTCCCCCCCTCCTTGCGCCGCATTCCCCTTTCCCGGTTCTCCTCCCTCTATATTCCCTCGCCCCTCCCCCGTTCCTCCTCTCTCCCTTCCTAACTTATGCGAGCTGTGAATTTTTTTTTTACTATTTTACCGTGGTAATGTACACAATTTAATGAACCTTATATATTATTCATAGCTACATCGATTTTATGTGAGTTCAGATCTTTCCGGCCCCAAACGGCTGTCATTTATTATCTTCCCTTTATCTCTATGAATACTATCCCCTGGTTTGCTATCCCACACGCGACTTAGACGCGACAGTAATTTGTTGGATGGCTTTACAATGATCGGTAAACAAAATAAATGGCACATGATACAAACATAAATCAACACACAACTAATCAAATCAGCGGAGATTGGACTGATAATTGCGTATTGACAAAAACAAGTGGACATTGGAAACTGATTAAAATCCTTAAATGCAATATCACCACATCAACAACGTAATCCCAAAATCTGGGCTAAATCGATATATGTTTAAAATCACATCACAAATCTCGAAATGCCTCCACCATCTGCGATACATTGGACCCTTGAATTAATATCGAATAACGAATACATGGTTTAGGGACGGTAGTAATTCACCTACTTCAAAAATAGTCAACACCAAATGTAAAAGAGCAAGGAGATGACAATCGGGAAGATTCATTGGCTCACATACAAACGCACAAACACCCAACAAACAGGCAAAAAAAAGAACCAATATCCGCGGTTACCTTATATTATTGTCGCCAACCATTTTTCCTCCCTATCCTAAATCGGAAACAAATTCCCTCCTACTATCCTCCTAATAAACAACACCTGATTCTAGGCACCTTCACTAAACTAAACATCAACAACACACAGGATCCACGATTTAACAAATAAATACAACCAACAGTCTTGGAATAACTGAATTAATGGTTCCAGACAGAACGTACACCTCCGGGGGACTGAGGACCGACACATACAAAAAACCACAAAGCCTACTCAAATCAACATTAAAAATTTAATATTCACAATCTTCACAAGCCATACATTGGTAGGGGGGGACCAAATCAAACAAACAAGCAAACTACAAAGATAAAAAGCAACAAAACGCAAAATCGTCACACTTGACACACACATCGACGCTTTTCCCCCCCCCCTTATCGTGCAAATAAACGATAAGAGTAGAACTTGGCTCATGTATTGAGGAGGAGTAAGCTTAGTTGAAACGAAAAAAGCTAGATATGGGCGCGCCGAGCCATGCGGTGAGCCACTAATAGGCGAGAAATTGAAGACGACATGGGGGGGGAGGACAGTCGAGACTTGGGTGGCGTGAAGGGGAAGTTGCGAGAGATAGTTGTTAGGGATAGAGAATGGTTAGGGCGTAGGTGAAGTAAATGACGGATTTCAGAGGAATGTCACCGGAGGATAAATGAACCCACCCATCACGTACGCAAGCTCGGCTCGTGGGTGCCCCCGCGGGTCATTTGCCGCGCACGAGCCATCGGCCCAGCACGCTAGGTATGTCTCATGTTCTTATGCTTCTTTTCTTATTTCAGTATCGCGTATCACACCACCTCGAGTGGGTTGTCCGGGGATGATGAAACAGAGACGAAGTAATTTTTCTTTTTTTTTTTTTTTGATTTTCGTGTGATCTCGAGGTTCGCAGGCGCGAGGGGTGGCAGGAGCATAAGCAGAACGCACTCGGACGGGCACGATCCTCTGTGGTTCTGGCTTTCCACAGGCTTAGCATGTCCCCCTCTTCGTACCCTTCGTCTTTTGATTACTCATGCTATAGGTCCCCGCTCTCTTTCCTCACATATAATTCCACTCCTTCAATAATTCTCTCTATCCCTTCATTACCCTCTCTTCATTGGCTCTCCTCGTTGCAAAGTTCTGTTACCTTCATTCGTCAGGTGTCAAACAATGCTGGTAGTGCCATACCGGTTGTTGTGATGCCCTGCGGTGACAGTAACAACGGGGGATATAGAAAAAACTCGTTTGTGAGAGAATGCAGTCACGTGCGATGAATACCTCAAACAGCTCTGACAACGAATAGGCCATGGGTATGACTCACAAAACAGCGCTTTGCACCTCTGTCTAGCGGACTGAGGAGTCGCGGATAAAGGGAGGGGATACTGATGATTCAATACCTCGGGTTCCGTACAATTAAAATACCTTATACGTTTTACTAACTAGTAGTCGTTACCTTCCTGTGGTTGCTCGCGACCTCTTTTTTTCCCGTTCTTTCGCATTCATATTTCTCCACCCTTTACCGTGTCATCTACTTTAACAACCTAGCATACTCACATTTGAGATCAAATCTCTCCTCCAGTCTTACATCTCTGCTCGCCGCCTGGGGGGGGGTCTCTTCTTTCTCAATTGTCCTTCACTAACTCCGACAATCGTCCTAAAGCGAATCTACAAATCATAACTAAAATAATTCGCGAATAGTTACCTTTCCCTCAAAACCCCAGACGTCTACTACATAATGGCAAAAAAAAAAAAAACAAAAGACTGATATTGAAATAAAGCTGGACCTAGAATAAAAAAAAGAAAAAGCAATAAACAGATTGAAGCAATAAATCAAACAAAAACACAAAAGCAGCACGATAATTTGCAAATAAAGCAATAATTCGGGGAAAAAAAAAAAAAATATAATTTCTCCCCACTCGCAGGGGGGGGGGGGTGGAATCGAACCCCCGTCGAATGCTTGGAAGGCATCCATGCTAGCCATTACACCACGAACGCTTTTTAGATGTCTGACCTTACGGCAGTTTATCGAACATTCAATCACGATATAGTAATCGCACCTTAGATCTGAAGTAATTCCGCGACACCTGTTCTCAATGGAGCACTCGGCGATCTCTGCTCTACGCAAAGAAGCAAAACGTCTGCGTTCGGGGTGAATCGAACCCCCGTCGAATGCTTGGAAGGCATCCATGCTAACCATTACACCACGAACGCTTGATAGATGTCTGACCTTACGGCAGTTTATCGAACATTCAACCACGATTTAGTAATCGCACCTTAGATCTGAAGTAATTCCGCGACACCTGTTCTCAATGGAGCACTCGGCGATCTCTGCTCTACGCAAAGAAGCAAAACGTCTGCGTTCGGGGTGAATCGAACCCCCGTCGAATGCTTGGAAGGCATCCATGCTAACCATTACACCACGAACGCTTGATAGATGTCTGACCTTACGGCAGTTTATCGAACATTCAACCACGATTTAGTAATCGCACCTTAGATCTGAAGTAATTTCGCGACACCTGTTTTCAATGGAGCACTCGGTGATCTCTGCTCTATGCAAAGAAGCAAAACGTTTGCGTTCGGGGGGAATCGAACCCCCGTCGAATGCTTGGAAGGCATCCATGCTAACCATTACACCACGAACGCTTGATGATGTGGGACCTCACGGCAGTTTACGAACATTCTATCACGATATAGTAATCGCACCTTAGATCTGAAGTAATTTCGCGACACCTGTTTTCAATGGAGCAATCGGTGATCTCTGCTCTATGCAAAGAAGCAAAACGTCTGCGTTCGGGGGAATCGAACCCCCGTCGAATGCTTGGAAGGCATCCATGCTAACCATTACACCACGAACGCTTGATAGATGTGTGACCTCACGGCAGTTTATCAAACATTCTATCACGATATAGTAATCGCACCTTAGATCTGAAGTAATTTCGCGACACCTGTTTTCAATGGAGCAATCGGTGATCTCTGCTCTATGCAAAGAAGCAAAACGTTTGCGTTCGGGGGGAATCGAACCCCCGTCGAATGCTTGGAAGGCATCCATGCTAACCATTACACCACGAACGCTTGATAGATGTGTGACCTCACGGCAGTTTATCAAACATTCTATCACGATATAGTAATCGCACCTTAGATCTGAAGTAATTTCGCGACACCTGTTTTCAATGGAGCAATCGGTGATCTCTGCTCTATGCAAAGAAGCAAAACGTCTGCGTTCGGGGGAATCGAACCCCCGTCGAATGCTTGGAAGGCATCCATGCTAACCATTACACCACGAACGCTTGATGATGTGGACCTCACGGGAGTTTACAACATTCTATCACGATTTAGTAATCGCACCTTAGATCTGAAGTAATTTCGCGACACCTGTTTTCAATGGAGCAATCGGTGATCTCTGCTCTATGCAAAGAAGCAAAACGTTTGCGTTCGGGGGGAATCGAACCCCCGTCGAATGCTTGGAAGGCATCCATGCTAACCATTACACCACGAACGCTTGATGATGTGGGACCTCACGGGTCGAACATTCTATCACGATTTAGTAATCGCACCTTAGATCTGAAGTAATTTCGCGACACCTGTTTTCAATGGAGCAATCGGTGATCTCTGCTCTATGCAAAGAAGCAAAACGTTTGCGTTCGGGGGAATCGAACCCCCGTCGAATGCTTGGAAGGCATCCATGCTAACCATTACACCACGAACGCTTGATGATGTGGGACCTCACGGTCGAACATTCTATCACGATTTAGTAATCGCACCTTAGATCTGAAGTAATTTCGCGACACCTGTTTTCAATGGAGCAATCGGTGATCTCTGCTCTATGCAAAGAAGCAAAACGTTTGCGTTCGGGGGGAATCGAACCCCCGTCGAATGCTTGGAAGGCATCCATGCTAACCATTACACCACGAACGCATGGTACACTTCAGACATGGCTGCAATTTATCGACCATTCTACCACAGTATAGTAATAGCGTCTTTGATAGCAAGTATTTTCGGGACACAAAGCAGTATTAAGTAGTTTAACACTGATATGGCAGCTGTTTTCGATGAAGCAATCTGTGATCTCTGCTCTATACAAAGAAGCAAAACGTTTGCGCTCGGAGGGAATCGAACCCCCGTCGAATGCTTAGAAGGAATCCATGCTAACCATTACACCACGAACGCATGGTGGACTTCACACATGGCTGGAAATTGGTTGAACATTCTATTAGTATGGAGCGCGTGGGGTGCAGTGGTGAGAGATGTCCTGTGACACACATGCGTTCGTTGTTTCACTCCAGCTTCATAGGCTCATATGCCTTCCTCTAACTACCCGGGTCGGCGAGTAAGCACCGGACGTGTCTGGAAGGGTAGCACAATGACTTGATACATCGATTGGCTACCCTGAGTCATTATAATGGTCACATAGGCATTCAGATCACCTCTACAATGCTGCTAATGGTGTCGAACGCATTGCTGATTTCCCAAGGATTTATCAGCGCCAAGGGCTTCGTTCTTTATCCCTTAAAACAACTTCACGCGAGCTCTGAAAAAGGACAGCTCACGTGAGCGTTCTCATTGAATTTATCTTATTACTCCACTTCCATTATAGGTAAACTCGATTCTGAGACTGGTATTCTCTCAAGCTTTTCACGATTCGCTGTGCGAAGTTTCGAGGCCTGCTGAAGTAATTATGGTAATCACGATGGCAGAGGGTGAGAAGAGAATGGTCGCCCCTTGAATCAAGCTATTGGCAGCTGTTTCTTACTGGAAGCAGTTTTTTTCTGCCCACGATGCTTTGCCATGTTCAAATGGGACCTGGTCTGTCATATTGCTTACAGAATTTTTACAGATTTATTCCTCCTAATGGAGTAATGGAGGTGTTTGGCTGAGCTGAGCTGGGTTGTGAGCAACCTGATCTTTCCAGGCTCTGAAGAAGGCGAAACTGCCGAAACGTCAACTGTTTGATTAAATTAATAAAACTTCGTGTTTGACCCAATAAAAAGTACGGAATCGCTTACATAAGCTGCACTGAATTGAATCATTATAAATACCACAGCGGAATTGAAGGTACTGAAGTGTAAAGGTTAGATCGAACGTAGACGATTTAATGGTTTTGGCCAATTACCTTCGCACGAACTGACTTTATGACCTGGATATTGACAAAAGATCTTGTATGTAGATGTATCGTAATGGTAATCTACAATACACCTGCGGATTTTCAATGAGAAAGAAATTTACCGGAATCCATTAAGTTGACCTCCTCTTGCGGTGGTATGATCTTGCAATATACGTTTTTACCCAAAAAAATCCACTTTAGATCATATCCTGTGGAACAGTAGTCACTCTAAGACATCTACAAAAGGAATGATCTTGAGAATGATGTCCTAAACGTTCTACAGATTTTTTTCATTTTAGCGCTTCTATAACTCTACGTAATCTTTTCTAACGAAAATTTCGCCTTACTATAACGATATTGATATCGACGTAAGAAGAGGGTTTCGACTAAGCGATCTTGACAAAACTGTTCATTGCCACCCTGCAAAACGTCATGCGAAGATTAGAATGGGACATTATGGAAGTGAAAATTGTCAGTCGACAATTAAACCATCTTCGCTTCGCTGATGATATCGTCCTCATAACACCAAGCATCAGCCAAGCGGATCAATGTTGTCCGATTTCGATAGCGCCTGTGGAAAGATTGGTCTACAACTAAATCTAACGAAAACTACGTTCATGAGGAACGGATGGATTTCGAATGTCCCATTCACGCTCAATGGAACGACAATCTCCGAATGCTCCAGTTACGTCTATCTAGGTTGTGAAATCAACATGATGAACGACCTAGCTCCAGAGTTAAGCAGGAGGAAACGAGCGGCTTGGGGATCGTTTAAGAGTATCGAGGATGTAGTGAAGACAGCAAAGAAATTTGACTCCGTGCCCGCCTTTCGACTCGACGATTATCCCTGCCCTAGCGTATCCAACAGAGACCTGGTCGCTACGTAAGCTGGATGAAAGATCACCTGACGTTATTGAACGCGCAGTCGAAAGGTCGATGCTAGGAGTATCGCGTATCTCGCAAATGAGAGAAAGGATCGGAAGTTCCGACCCACGTCAACGGTCGAAAATCAGAGACGCCGTTCTACACGCCAGAATATCGAAAATAAGGTGGGCCGGACACGTGATGCGCTTCAACGACAACCGAGGACGGGAGCCCTTACCGACTGGATTCCTCAGGACGTCAAGCGCTCTGAAGGAAGACCACTGACCCGTTGGTCCGATTTCTTCACGAAAGCTATAGAGGAAAGATATGATGCTTAACGAATCCTTAGAGCGAGGAGGACCCACTGGGCTACTCTCGCACGCGTTAGGGAAAAATGGAAGTGTTGCTGGTACCCGCTCGATCACTTGACGATCAACGGGACAGTAGATGGTACAGGTGATGACAGTCTTATGACATAAAACCATTCAGTCGACTATTCTCAGACCAAGCTCAAAGAGAGTATTACCTCATAGCATGTGTGGAGCCTTTCATGAGGTCAGTTGTGGGCACATCTAGAGTGCAAGACACGTGCTCCGGTCCTCCAGCTCCATCAGCAGCACGGTACCTTTCGGTTCAATCAGTTCCCGAGGATCTACCCCTATATAGAAGAATCGACGACGAACTCGCACTCTACGGTGAGAGTATCACTGTGGCGTCCTTTTTCAACGTCATTGATTATCAAATGCATGGCGCACGGTTGTTACGTAGGCATATGTAACAAAACCTTTGAATCGACTATTTTGAGACCTCTCTCAAAAACAGTATTTGGTTACATTGTCATATCATATCAAATACGAGACTCTGAACTTGGACGGGAGTCGATCCAGCGTCTCACACACCACACGACTGATAGCAGAACGGGAGACCTGGTGATGCAGTGGTTCGCATGCGCTCCCGTAAAGAGTGAGACGCGGGTTCAACTCTCGGCCGAGCGTGTCATAGTTTCGCTCATCGCTCGACATTCTTGGGGATGCTGAATGATCCACTAGAAGAATTCCTCTCGACAAAAATCACAACTATAATATCTAGTCGTAAATCCTTATATAGCACAAAGCATGATAGAACAGAAGAGAAAAATCCGTAGTAGAGTGGCTAGTAGGTGTCCAGGAAGGGTGAGGTGCGGGTACGATTCCTGGCTGAGGTTTACAGTTTTTCATATCACTCAACATCCCTGAATATAAATGGTAATGACTATAGGCTAATGGCTATAAAAACGGGAATTAAGAAGAATTTCCGTCGATTACATGTGATCTACTGATATGTTCTTTCCAAGCCAAGCAGTTAGCAACTAATCGCTGACAGATCTGTACCTTGTGTCGCAGTAGGAGTGATAGTAAAAAAAAGGTTCAAATGGTGCAGTGGTTAGTGCAAACAACCTGAAAAGGGCGACTCAGGGTCAATACCCGCCGAGGTTAGCGGATTGATGCGGACGAGTTAGCGGAATGACAATGCGGACAAGTTTGCGGTGCGATGTGGACGAGTTTGCACGATGACTGACAGAGAAGAGAGGAGGGACAGCTGGCGCGAACGTTCCGTTCATCACCTGGACGATCGATGGACGTGCGGCGGCGGCGGCGGCACTTGGTCATATTCCTCCGTCTCTCTGTCATTCTCCGCCTCATCTCATCCTACACTATCTCTCGCCTCCTTTCCCAGTTCCTCCCCATGTCGTTCAATTTCGATGGCCATCTCTGCCTCCTCTTTTCGTTCATCTTCTCCTCCGCAGCCGTGCTCTCTTCGTTTTCGATAAGAAAACGGGTGTGATTGGGTGGTGGTGGGAAGGAAGAAAAAGCCGGGGAAAATAGTAGGATAAGGAACGAGACGACGGAGAGGAAGAGGAACGAACGAACACGACGACTGGGAAAGTCCGGCGGGGGAATCGATCCGCGGTGTCGGTTGCCGTCGTCTCCTCCTCTTCTCTCCTCTCTTTACCTGTTTTCCCCCCTACTCTCTACAAAACATCCTCCTTGCCCTCCTTCCCGTCCTCCTCCTCCTCCTCCTTCACCGCTGCCGCATATGTGAGGTGAGGTTCATTCATTCGTTCGTTCGTTCGTTCGCTTTCCCGTCATTTCATTCATTTATTGATTGATTTCTCCCCTACCAGTTCTCGTCATATCGATTTCTGAATCGATCAATAACTGATAGAACAAAATCTGCTGTCATGTTCACCAGCAAAGTAAATAATCCTCCCAGATCAAAACCAAACCCACCAAGGAAAACTCGGCCTAACTAGTTCTTTAGTTGTTTTTATATTTCAAATTTGGTTTAGTAATGTCCTTTTTTTCTGGTGGTTTTTAAACCCTATTAAACCCTTAGACCCAAAAATAGCCTCTCTAGATCAAAAACCTTCCATTTAAATAGACGATCCGGAGGCGAAAAGGCGGCTCAAGTGGGTCTCTAGTTTTTTTTTTTTTGAGAGGGGGGGTTAGGAGGGTTTCCCTCCAAGTTGCAGGATATCGATTTTTGAAATAGATCAATAAGTCTGGTAGAACGATTCCTATTGAAATTATGCTGCGAATAATGACCTTATGAAGAGATGTTTTTATCTGGAATTTTTAAATTTTGGCCATTATTTCTTCAGTGTACTTTTTTGAAAAGAAGGGAAGCGGGGAGAGAAGGGGGGAAGAGAGAGGAGAGAGGGCCCTCCCTCTTCTACCCTTCCTCTCCCTGCTTTCTTCTTTCAACTTTTCTTTTTTTTTCATTTTTGCATAATTTCGCGGATTTTTCGGCAGTGAGATTCCAAGCGAGCATGATAAAGGATTTTGTATAGGTCTAGCTAAACACGGAGTTTCTCTAATAAATATAGAAAGCTGATTACAATAAAAACAGGATGGTAAAGCCCAGTGATTAGAGGTGCTTTGCGACGCACACGTGGTCGATGGTTCTATCCCCGTCTAGAACTCACCGAGCCTTCCATCCCTTGAGGGGGGGGGGTGGAGGGGTTCTATGGTTAGAGTGCGCTGATTTCTCGATGAGAGGTTTTTTTATGGCTTTAGAAACGTGCTTTATTTCTAGACAGTTCACCTAGCAGTACCCGTGAAGAAACTGTATCACAAAATATTCAAAATCCCTCTATAATTTCGAAATAGGAAGTAATAAATACAATAGATTGGAGGGAGGACAGAGAAGAGGATTTCTCACTGACAACCATCGCTACGGAATTTACCGTTTGCGTCTCCTCCGTCCCTCCTTTCTTTCTTTTTTATTTTATTTTTTACTTTTTGTCTCATCTCTACCTAACTCCTCGGTCATGTTGGCGGAGAGTTATAGAGCTAACATTTTACCAATTTGGTGTTTTTTTTTCGCAACCTCTTCGATGCAATTGTCATGAAAAACTGGGCGTATCTCCAGTGAACCCAGGCGTTTTGAATGGTCATTTAGCTCTGATTTTTGTTAGAACAGGACGCGTGTGACCCAGTGATTAATGGTGATCTGTGGCGCACACGTGATCGGTGGTTCGGTCCTCGTTCGAGGCTCAGTACGCATTCCATCGCTTGGGGGTTATCGAATAGGTAACAGATCTGTTCGCAAGGATAGCAGCTCTAACTTATACATCGATATCGGGAACGTCGTCATTATGAAATGATGGAATTTCATCGGAAAAGCTTCTATAGGGATAAATTTGATAAAAAGAACATTTATATTTCTCACGTCTCAACGAGAAAACTACATTGCTGGATTATGACAATAATGGTAGTGGTAATTATAACGTTAGTCTTTATGGTAAGGACAATGAAAATGATCCTTGTCCTTGTGACGTAGCTCATCACGTTTACCGTGTGGGACGTTTCGTCCCACACCGCGCGACGTCATGGTATAGCATAGCAACTCTGAGCTGCGAGGAGAAAGTGGCAAGATGTTAGCCCTTGTCCTGAAGAAGATATATCAATCTCACGGTGGGTTACCGATGAATCAACTGGATGATGCTGTACTCCCTAACATATTTGGGACCACTTCATTAATCCTCGAAGTGATCAACATCCTTGGTCGGCATTGAACATCACTGTCTGTTCTCTCTCTGTTGAACATTCCCTTCGGTTTGATAACCCTTTATGGGGCACTAAGTAGGTTCCGTAGCATGCTGCGCGACGTCAAATCTCACTCAGCTATTGTCATGGGGACATCGCGTCTTGTGGGAAAGCAGGCGGAGACAGCTAGACGTGCATGCATAGACATGCAGACGCTGTCTGCGTGCGTATGTGAAAACCTCTGGGAAGATGGATGCGGGGAGACGAACCCAGGTGCTTAGGGACCATCATCCTTATGAAGTGAAGGGTGTGCTCTTATAAAGCTTTTAGAGCGATAAACTTAGTAAAAGACTATGTATTTTCAATATTTTATCTTTATTTCTCACGTTTCAACTAGAAAACTACATCTTTGAATGATAACGGCAATGATAACGGTAGTGATACTAATTATGATAACGATGTTGATAATGATGAGGTTAGTGATAATGACAGAGATAATGATACTAGTAATGGCAATTCCCAATAATGTGGAGTGCTGTGCAAAAAACATTTGCGTCAGTCGGGATTCGAACCCGGATCTCACTCTTTCCGGGAGCGTATGCTTAATCGTTGCATCACCGACGCAATGGTAATGATTGTTATAATGGTAATGTTTGTGATGATAGTGATAGTGATAATAACAGCGATAAGTATTACGATAACGATAATGATAGATGTATTTTGAGTGGAAATCACGCCCATTTACCCATTTTTCAATGAGAGGAGCTCATGTAACAACGTGGTTGAAGGTGTTCTGCGTCGCACACAAGGTCGATGGTTTGATCTCGCGCTCATGGCTCTTCAAGCCAGCCATACATAAATAGTCGGTAAGACTGACCAGAGGAACTCTCGTGAACTGATGAACCTTCCAAAGCAGCCAACACGTGGTCTTATTGGAGTTATTCGTAGAGGTGAGAACTGAACGAGGTACAGGCAATTATTCGGAGAGCATAATGGACTAAAAGAAGTGAGTGGAGCTAGCTAATCCCTCTTTTTCGAATTACAGGGCTACCAAAACAGCACTTGAACGGATGGTTCCCACTGGTCAGTTCAAATACAGAGTTGATGTTTGCAGAATCTGGTGATGAGCATCGAAAATATATTGAAATTTTAGGAAATCTGTCATTATAGCAGAATTTTTGGTTGTATATTACTAGTTTTCGGTTATAAGGGAATAAATGAAAAACCGACCTCATTCGCTGGATGGGAACTTTCCATTGGAGTGCTAATAACCATTCAAAAGCTCAGATTTCTGGCTACAGCCCCACATGGCCGGCTTCAAAGACGATGTTATAGAAGGAAGTTCCATGAGTTGCAGACGCGGATAATCTCGCCGGACAGAGCTCTTTCTTTGGACAATTAGTAATCAGTCGATAGCGTAATGCTTGCTCATTCCAGCGCTTGCATTTTACCTGCTGCGTTGCCGAGAAACGATCTTTTCAGGATATGATCACAGTGTTGGAATCAGCAACGATTACGCTATCGAGTGATCATCTATATCAGAAAGAAAGAGCTCTTTCCGTCGAGAAATATGCGCCTTTGAGGCTTTTTTTTTTTTGGAATTTACAGCGTTATAGGGGGATGTCTCGAAAACCCGACCACGTGGGGCTGTAGCGAGAAATCTCTGCTTTCGAATGGTTACTTACACTTATGAAAAGTTCCTGTCCAGCGAATGAGAGCGGTTTATCATTTGTCCCCCTTATAACTGATAGAAACCCTAGTTTTGGTTTGCTGGCAGAGTTGGCTGATAGCTTTGTCTTCCAGTACTTGTAACAAAGCGATTGATTTCTTAGCAATATGACGTTCTCATGATGAAGCGATATGGATGGAATCGATGTTTTCTCGGTCGCTATGCCCATTTGTTTGCAAATTTCTGATGAAGAAGTGTTTTCATCTTTTTGTCCTAGAGGTAGAGAAAATAACTACTATCAC